ACTAGCACTGCTAGCCTTTGCTTTTACAGTCTGCTCTTGCCGATTACCATACCAGTTTATGTGTTCTTCCACCTGTGGACTTGGATGGGTATTAAACTCTTCAGACATAATTAATGCAACCAGAGCCAAGATGGTATATGTAATAGTGATATGTCTTGGGCCTCTTACTGTGAAAGTTCAACTAGATTGAAACACTAGAATCCCATTTAGTTTACAGGAAAGATAGTTTGCCTTGGTTTTGTCAGAGGCTTAGGACTATAGGAAGCTTAAGCACCAGAAGCTGCTTTTATTGTACTCTTGTTCCTTATTTTTTGACAGTTCTAATTTGTAACAACAACTGCTGTACCAGAAGAAACATTTTCACAAAAATCTTTTTGGAGATTAACAGTTATTGGCTAATAACTTAATTCCTTATACTACTCTTCTAAAAGTCTTTTGAAAAACTGGTCAAGTTATATGCTATGAATGACAAATACAAAGAAGCTGTGCTAGAGTAGTTGAAGAGAAATGCATTTGAACTAATACGATATAAAACTTAATAATAAAATGGAAGTTTCACATACTTACAAAAATCTTTGTTTGTAAAATTACCTTAATTTCTTTGGCATCGAGTGTTTATATTAATAATAATAAAATATCAACACTTTCCCAGAAAAAAAAGAAAAAAGTTTTGTAATAGTGCTTTTTTTCACCAAAAGTGTGGGGTATGAAAGGAGGAAAAAAATATAAAAATATTCTAAATTTTAAATGTAGGCTCTATTTAGAGACATCTTTTATACCTAAAATAGAGCCATTTCCCAGGAAAGTGGGCTTTACACTACCATTGAGGGGATGGGAGGACTTGCAAATAGTTGATGTGCCTTACTGAGCTTAGACTGATATTTTGAGCCACATTTCAGTTGTATCTTCCAAACCAAATCAAAAGACTTGTTAACACTACTAAGGGCATGTACACTCGACAAATATAGTTCCTGATTTTCCAGAAGCCTTTCAACAGGACTGATTTAGTATGGTACAATAACTGTTTCAGAGGTATAGCATAAATATTTCAGTAGTTACTCTAAAAAGAAAACTGAGAAATATTTTATTCCTACTGTTGTTGTTGTTGTTATGTGCCGTCGAGTCAGCCCTGACTCATAGCGACCCCTCCTTGGGTTTCCGAGGCAGTATCACTACGGAAGTAGGATTGCCCAACCTTCCTTCCGGGGAGTGGCTGGTGGGTTTGAACCACCAGCCTGCTGGTTAGCAGTCAAGTGCCTTAGCCACTACGCTACCAGAGCTCCCTTATTCCTACTAGAATCTTAAAATAGTTTGACAGACTTAGGACAGTGATTCTTCAAGAGAAAAAACATGAGATTAGATGCATGCGTTTTGTACTTCATTAAATATATGCTATACTATAAATAATATGCTTAAATTACCCTGTGGCAGGATAAGGAGCTCTGGTGGTGCAATGCCTAAGAGATTTGACTGCTAAACAGAAGGCTGGCAGTTCAATCAAACCTACTAGCTGCTCTGCGGAAGGAAGATGTGGCAATCTGCTTCTGGAAAGATTTACTGGTTTGGAAACCCAATGGAAGTCACTGAGTCAGAATCAACTCAATGTAACGGGTATGCATTGTTTTGGTTATGGCAATATGCAAATAACCTGGACATTACTAATAAAGACTTGTATCTAACCCCAAATCTCATGACTAATCAACTTGAAATGTATCGATGTAAATGAAACAATTTGCTGATAAAACATACACTGTATTCAGAAAAATCAGTTCCAGCTTTTGCAAGTTTAAAAACCAGTTGCCACCAAGTAGATTCCTATTCATAGCAACCCATGTGTGTTAGAGTAGAACTGCATAGTTTTCAATGGCTGAGTTTGGAAGTAGATCACTAAGACCTTTCTTACAAGGTGCCACTCAGTGGACTCAAAACCACTAACCTTTTGTTTAGCAGGGTGTGCATTACCCTTTTGCACTGCCCAGGGACTCCTTTTGCAAATTGTTTTGGTAGTATTTTAGAGTAAATGGATATGCATGTCCCTGGGGGAGTTCACAAAGGAGTTCTGGTGGTGTAGTGTATGAGGCATTTGACTTCTACCCAGAAAGTCAGCAATTCAAAGCCACCAGCTGCTCTGCAGAAAATAGGGTGATCTACTTCTGTAAGGATTTACGGCATCGGAAACCCAGTGGGGGTCACTATGAGTCTGGGATCCACTCAATGGCAGTGAGTTTGGGGGAGTTCACAGTGAGTTATGGTGGCATAATGGATAAGGTATTTGGCTGCCAACCAGAAGGTCAGTGGTTCAAACCCACCAGCCACTCCACAGAAGGAGGATGGGGCAATCTACTTCCATAAAGATTTACAGCCTCGAAAATCCAATGGGGGTCACTATGATTTGGAATTGGCAGTGAGTTTGTTTTGGTTGCGGGAGTTCACTACTTCATCCTCTCTCTAATAGAAATTTAGCAAATGCTTACATAGGGCAAACTATACCTGGTAAAGTCTAAGCATATTATATATCTAATCAGTATTTTGGGAGCTCTGGTAGTGCCTAAGGCATTTGACTGCTAACCAGAAGGCTGGCGGTTCAGATCCACCAGCCACTCCTCAGAAGGAAGATTGGGCAGTCTGCTTCTGTAGTGATACCGCCTCAGAAACCCAAGGAAGGGTCACTATGAGTCATACTCAACAGCAGTGTTTTTTTTTTTTTTTTTTTT